AAAAAATGGAGTCATAGTGAATCAGTCATAAGCTGCCATAACCCATACTCGTTCTAACATCTCCTGATTGAGCTCGTTCATGGTCACCTTCTTCCCTGGACGCCCCAACGCCAAGTGAGCAATCGCTTCAGCCACCTGACCCGGCGATCTGCGGCGTGGGCCACGCTCATGTAGACGATACTTCCCCTACTCCTCCAAGTACCTTCATTTCGCAGGTGGGACTGGGGTGGGAGCCAAGAGGGTCCAAAGACCTTCTGATGAGGTACGACTGGATGTGTAGGGTTCATGATAGTTCAATTCCCCCAGGCCTGAAGAGGTTCTACTAAAACATGATGACATCTTCTTGTTTCAAGAGTCTACATTAGGTGGATCTTGGTACTTGTTTCCTGGAAATTCCTGTCATTTCAGGTGGTAAATCAAGGGAACTTCAAAATGCATGAATGGGCTGGGTCGGCAGCTATGTGGCTGGGTCTATCTTCAACTACACTCCATGACTTTCGAAAAAAGCAACCCACCGTGGAGGGCTGTCGAACGTTTTTCGATAAAATTGATTTAGGACCATCCCCAAAAGCTCTGACCAAACTGCCTAAGGAGCTGGACAAATATCCACCAGAAGGATCCAGAAGCGGATTCACCCATAGGCTGTCAAGTTCAAGAATACACCGTTTCTGTGACACTATATAGCTGAAGGTGAAACGACGTCGTGGTTACATAATTTCATGATATTTCGTGAGAATGCAACACCTATTCGCCATACCGTGGGAGGACCAGCAATTCCCTGCGCCGTGATTCTGCCCGAACGGGATCGGCCGTCTGGCAGCCCCACCCGGACCTCAAGGTCATCGCTCTTGCCGCTCTTGGCGCTCTCCACACCGTGCTTCTTGGTCTGTCGACTTGGTCATGACTGGATCCCAAAGTCGAGGCAGTTTTGTACAGAGACGCCACAAGATTGTCTGAGATGGGGATCCGTGATAATTACATCTAATTACTGCACCACCCACTTGAGATCTCATACTGTCTAGGGAAAAAAGCAAACACTTCCAGTGAAGTTGGCCTGCCTTGTTTTGGCCTGCTTCTGCTGGAAGGGAGGGCAAAAGTGAGTGTACCATCAGGACCCAGCCCCAGGACCTTTGTATCGGATTCAGAAGTTCTCATGATCACAGTGACCCCAGGTGCATCGCCAAAAATGACGCCGATCAAAACACGGCCCGACATCATGGACCATTTCTTTGGACCATGTTGCATGGTCCATCCACAACTCGTAACGAAGGGACGTGGCTTGCGCCCACGTGGCTTGCGGCTTTTCCTGAAACATACGTCACACACACAAAAATCTAACAATCAATCATTGGCATTGAGAATTACTTCTGAAGGGTTGTTGGAGAGGCGAATGTTCCTCTCACTTGAGATTTCAAAAATACAATGAAGCTCTGGCATAGCCATTCAGGTGCTCCCCCTCATTTGGATGGTAGAACTCTGTTGGGGTGGTGAAATATAATCAACAAAAAATATGGAATGTGATGGGTTTGCCATAAAGAGTGCCAAAAGATTGTCCTTGGCCGTGGGTGCCTACCCAAGAGCAGATTACCCCATCAAGAGATCAAAAGTCTACATTACCCCGTGCCGCTCCCCCTGATGTGAGGCTCAGCGGCCGCCCGCCTTGGAGGCTTTCGAACATTTCTTCTCTGCGATTAGCTCCTGCGACCAACAAATGTAGGAGCAGCTTGGCTTCGTGATGTTTGTCCTCTCTGCAACAAGACATGTTGTCCACTATAAGCCACCCAACATGTGAGAAAGTTGCTGAATTTGTGGCATTTGTGGTGGAGTTTCTCACTTGACTCTAAACGTCAGTAGAAGGGTGGAGACTACACCCTTCTCCCATGGCAACAGGTGGATATCTTGAAGGTCGTGCCAAACACATGGAGTCTTGATTTCGGTCTTAGGGCAGGGGATGGAAGTGGATGGCAGTCATTGCCACAACGCCAAATGCAATCTCCATGTTTTTAGGTGGACCATTCGAGCCCTGGTGATTAAAAAGATGGTCCTACCCAAATATGCTCCACTATCTGACTAGTCTAGGGCTACACCTTCCCAGTTTCCAGCCCAGAACTTCAAAAAGGATCGCACGAATCTCCGCACCTGCACGGGATGTGAGACTGCCTCGGGCGCTTCCAAGGATGCCAACAAGGCTGCTTGAAGTTCCAGGTCCTCCCGGAACTCCGGCCGGTCATGGAGCGACTGAGCGTCTATCAGAGTCTATCAGGCCTCTCCAATTCGAGAAAACACAGGTGTAGGACGGAACACCAATTCTGCTCATATGACGTCATGAACAATGATCCCCAGCACCAAATTCTGCACCTCGAAGCTAAGATCTTGAGGTGAAGGTAACCTTGGAAAGCCTATATTGACTATATATATGTACCAATTGCATATAATTAATTGCGAAATGAGCATAGTTGATACGCTTGCACCTGCATACTCTTGTGATACACCGAAACCCAATTAATGTTTGCTCGTCCCTCTTCCCCTCTGCCCATCGCCTGAGCTGTGTCCACAGTAGCATCCACATCCTGCCAGGCAGGGTCGCGAAGCAACGCAAGAAACAATTGAATAGAATCACAAACATGGAACAGCCCTATGAGAACCGTTCACAGCCTCTGGCATAATTAGTCAGTACAGACAAGATTATATACTATAAAAATCTATAAAATAATACAAAACCTAGACATGGATAGACACGGAGATTGCGCAACACATTGTCATAGGTACAACCTCTCCAACGGATCAGACACCAATCCTCGTCGAACAGTCACCCAGATCTCGGGTGCGAGGCTTCGTTAAGTTGCAGTCTGGTGTCTATATCTTCACAAGAACAAACAATAACTCGTGAATATGTGGAGATGTTCACGGCTCCGCCTGGGTACTATAAGCCCATACAAGTACTTCATACGTTGGGGACCAAAAATGAGGAAAACTGTTTGCAATAGTAGGTTAGCGGTTAGCGGTTTGTCACATTCCTTTCCATTCCTTATCCCTTCCAGTCCTCAACACTTGGCACCCATGTCCAAGCTTCGAACCTCAGGACGGGACGAACGATTCCGCGGCGGCTCAGCGGCTCACCATCTGTACGCTACCCCTGCCGTCGTGGCCAAGGCACATCTTGGAGGCTGACACCTTCCCACTCGCAGCACCGCCGGCCGCTTCGCCGGCTTCGGCACGCACGCGGCCCAAGGCAGCTTGCTCCGAGGTCGCTACGAGAATTGCGCCTGGCGAGGCGTCGAGTGGTTGAGATGGCCGTGCGGGTTGTTAGGGACGGGGCGGCCAACGCATCCCCAACGGTTACATACTGTAGGTTGATCTACGCCTATGCTTTATTCACAGTACCTTGCGGTCTGTGTTTTTCGAGCCAAAGGCACGGGCTGCAGTGTAGAAACATCCACTTTGGTCGGGAAAAACGGGGAAAAACACATGTCGCACCATAAAGGCCTTCTGAATCAGTTGGTGGTCAGTCAATTGTTCCACTGTAAGGTAAAGAAAGACAGAGAGAGAGAGAGAGAGCTACACGTCACTCTCAGAACTCACTTGTCCCCGTCCCAAAGTCTCGATCCGATGGGCAGTACGGACGACCGTCTGTGTTCCGTATACGGACCGCCTTGCAGTGCCTCAGTCTGCAGTCGAGCGGCACAACTGCTGCGTCCCAGGGCGCACCGGCCTGGTGAAGCAAAGGCCGCGGATGGTGTCTTGCTTCGGTGGCTTCACGTGATGCTTCACGTTTACGTGTTCTTGTTTTCCTCGGAGGTATTCTATTCTATGTCTGGATATCTATGATATTTCTGGGTAGTTGTTCTCTATGAGCTGTTTGTTCATCCAAATGATCAACTGGAGTTACTAGAGCATGACATGACAGGTGAGAGGGGTTCACTTCATCTCTACTTGGACCCCCCTGGCACCCCCACCCCTGGTCCATCGAACCCAAACGAAGGGAGTGGCCAGGAAGCCTATATATAGGGCCAACAAAGAACTTGGTTTGTAGATTGTAGGGTGATATTCACAGCGAATCCACTCAAATCCCACGAATGTGTATATAAAAAAGATCATAAAAGACTTGTGCCCAACATATCTTGGATCCACGATCTCTTCATATCTTTCCCCAGAAATATAAAATATGCAAATCTGTATATGGTCCAAAAGACTTGTGACCACGGCGATTTCGCCGCCAACGTTGGAATTTCACCGGGCCCCACCAACAACGCGACAGCCGCTCCGAGCGACAGCACCATTTCGAAGAGCCGCCACGGCGCCTTTGAGGTGATGGCGCCCAGCGACCCCAAACAGTTCCAGCAGGATGTGATGGGGTCCATGTCTGGCATGTCTAATAATTTCTAAGAGAACACCCCAACAGTGGAAAAAAAAGAGCAACAACAAAGTAAATAAGTCTTCAGAGATCCTTCAAGGGTCAGTTTATAATCTTTGTATACAATCCAGGTCTGCCTGAACATGAGAGGACCCGACCCGTCTTCTAAAACACCTCATGTTCTCCCATGACTATATGGTCACCCAGGAAGCATTCAAAAGTCCTGCTTTCATTGGTAAGGCTGTCAGGTGGCCAGGTTCTGCTGCCATCGCCGCTGCTTCCGGCGCATCTGCTGGGGGCAGTTCCTTCCCAGGTGGCCCTTCCTGCAGACCCGGTGACAACCCGGCGACGAGAGATGCTGTCCGACTGGCCACAGGTTCGCGAGTGATGTTTTGGCCCATGGGAAGCATTGCAAAGCCGCCTCTGTGAAGCCACTGTGAAGCCTAGTGAGGTCATCTTCTGGTCCGCCAAGTAAACACATGGACCCGTCCTTAAGCACCTGGTGTTCCCAAAATCTCCTGCACAACGGTCCATCTCTCAATCTTCAAGACTCCCCATATCTCTCCATATCTCCCTGGTATTACGATTCAAATAAAACGGGGAGATATGGGGACTCTTCCCTGCTACCTCCAGCCAGTCGCTCCAGACAAAACAGGAAGCTCGCTTAGGGTCGGTCATCAGGTCGCTCCAGAGGTCGGTATGCCCAAGGTGAGGACCGGTGGGTTCCACTCACAAGTACCAATTGAACATCCTATATGTGAAACCACCACCCAGGAGCACATATTAGCGCATTAACACGTGCGAGTCGGGAGAACCTGACAAAGGCAACATAAGCTATCATAAGCAGCCACTTGCGGCACCGCTTGGACAAAAGCATGGACCGAAGGAGACAAGAGGGCCATCACTGAACATAACAATACATAACACATCCATCTTGCCCTGGGGCGAAATCCTAAACTACCGGCTGCTGTTGTTTTGGAGCCTCTAGCACCCTCGGACTTAGCAGGTCGTTGTCTCTTCTCCGGATTTGTCACCGGTCAAATCACCCGTCCAAAGATGAATCATTCCATCGCCCTGGCCATGTTTGGTTTGGCGGGCCTTCCACAAAGCTGGCAGGGCAACTGTGCTTCCTCGGTCAGCAAACGAGCGTAAGTTGGACTGTTTGGACTTGCCGTGACATTCACAAAAGGGATGGTGAGTTCTTGTTTTCCAATCAGTGCCAACTTCTTGCTCACAATGTATGTTCTTTTTAGGCTCCAAACTATGGGCACTGCAGCATCTTGAAGCAAAAGCGCAAAGTGGCACAATGGTCTATAAAACGAGGGGATAGGTGCTTCCTTCATCTGTACTCATTCCTCTCCTGATATGGTATGGCAGGCGGGCACTCTTGGCCTGAAGCTCTTGGAAGGCAGTCTTGCAGGGTTGTTGCAAGAACTAGTCAGGCCTACAGCCTACCTGTTCATTTACGGAACGACTGGACCTCAAAACCGGGTGGTTACCGTCTGCTTTTCGGACGTCAACAGCTGTGGTTGGTCTATGCCTTCGGATCC